ATTCATTACATAATTATAGTAACAATGTGTATACAAAGTTAGTTCACATATTTTTACTTTTAATGATATATTATTAGACAAACGCTCTATCTCTATATATAATACACAGATGTGAATATATCTTAAAACAAATGCTACATATTTGTGGAATAAGAAAAATAGCAGCATAAAAATATATTATTCCTAACAAAATATATCTTCATTGTATAGTTATTATTTATAATCCATGGTCATTCATAAAATATGTACATTGGCTATAAATTCATAAATATTCAGATATTGCCTTATAAAGAGTTAAATGAAATAATTAATAAGGAAAATTTATTCCAACCAAAATATAATTTACCTTAAAATTATTTCTATATCTACCTTTCGTTCAATAGATTTACTTATATATTGTCACATATATTAAATATGATATGATTAATTTCAAAGCATTTATGTTTTTCTCTTCAATTTTGTAAAATTTCTCCTAGAGTGTGATAATGCATACTAATTTCACTGTTCCTCCAATTATCATGCATTCCATCTCCACATATATATAAAAATAATGAATTTTATTTAAAATTAAAATTAATCACTATACAAAATTATCAGTGATCTCATTGTCATAATCATAATTGTAAATATATAAATAATTTATAACAAAATCTAATGCTTCTAAACCATAAACCCTAATCCTATATGCATCATATATAAAATTATTTATTATTTTAACTCCATAATACATTATATTGAATTAATACGTACATTTATGCGTCATTATAGGAAGAAAATAAATAATCATTAAGAATTCAAAATAAAATTTATAATAAATATGCATTTTTTAAAAATCCCCGAAGTTAAAAAAGAAATAAATAAAAAATTCTTACATAGTCTGAGATACATTACGTTATAATAGCATCTTAAAAATTACTGTATTTAATTATAACATTCGTATATTGTATAAATTACTTAATTCTATAATATGATTTAATAAAAAAATACGACAGAATATAGTTATGTGTCAACAAATAAGCTTATCATTTAAAATAAATGTATATGCTTTTAATTATACAACAATTCTAAAGGATATTTAAAAAATATATATTATTGAATACACTTATTACTCTTTATAAACTTGAATGTGTTCATAAAATGCTATGATTCCTTTAATTATAAAGTGATAACTTCATATGTATTCAAAGAAAAAAAAAATTACTCGTAAATATTTAATTAAAATATACATTTTTTCTGACAAAAAAAAATTTACAAACAGTTTTATCGGTTCAAATAATTTCGAATTAAAATAACATACATTGAAAAAAAAAAATTTATAACTTGCAATAATCGAATTATTGTAGTAATATGTAAAAAATATTTATAACTTATTCTTGTTCTGCATTAGTATATTATTATTAATATCTAGATATATATATAGAACTTATCATATATAATATGAAAATTGGGGGAGAGCGTAATGACTTCAAGAAGAATTTTTTTTTTATGAAGTCCATTAAATTTATAGTGTGAAAAATTTGCCATACCTCCTGTAATAAAGTTTACAAATATATCCTTATTAATGTAAATTATATAAATATGATTAAAACCGTCATATTCCGTATAAAATAAAAATAAAGAATATTTTTACTTTAATTTATGGGAGTCCATGTCACTAACTTCATAAGAATTATATATAGTGCATGAATATAGTAACTGTAATGTACATTGTAATATAAAATATATTATTAAGAATTTCAAACAATTAATTTCCTACACTTATTTCAAATATTATTGAATATATAAAATATATACTTTTACATAATACATCCTATATGCATATATATATCCATATTTCATAGAGCATAATGATAAAGAAATTACATATCATAAAATTTTATAAAAATAGACAACACTATAATGATTAATCCATAATCATAGATAGTACTATATATGTTCTCATAAATATTATTATAATTTTTTCAATATATTAGTAAATACATAGTTATATATGATTATTTTATTTTCTTTGCATATTACTTTTTGACATTCGTTAATAATGCCAATTGATATGGGGGTACGTATTTTACATAATATAAATAATTATTTATATCAAAAAATCACATTTCATCTTAAATTATTTTATTTTTTTTATAAATAAAAATATATATATTATCATTCCTTTTAAATTTATAGAATGATGTACTTAATGAATTAACTTCAAAACAGAAATACGCTATTTTCGATAAGGCCGAAGATACTTGTGATGATTCTCATATTCAACAATATGTAGCGAAACTCTTAGACACATATCCGCAGCTTATAAATATTTCTAACAAAATACGTAATGCCTTATGTTTTGCATACAATAAACATATGACAGGGGAATTTAAAAGTACAGATTGTGATTACCTGTACTTTTGGTTAGGAGATAAAATATATTATAATATAAAATATATTTTAAATTTTACATCTGTCATAGATGTTATTAAGTTTACATTGCAAAGTAAAGGAGGATTGAGTATATGTGAATTTGATAAATATAATATTGATCCAGAATATTTTATGGATACTAAGGAACTCTTTGATTATTCAAAAGATTATGATAAGCTTGAACATGTTATAACTGAATCTAATGGGTCATGTAGTGGAGATTATACGAAAATTCTTAGTAATTATGTTACTAAATATAACATGTTCATATTTTCCTGTAACAATAATCCTGAAGAGCGTAGGCCCTGTGAACATATTAAAGAGTTTTTTAAAGATAAGTATCCAGAGAAATTTTCTGCATTGTCATGTAATTCACAATATAATAATTATAAATCTGTAACACAAAAACAAGATCACCGTGGAGTGGCAGAATCAAGAGTAAAAACATTAGAACAAACAACAGTAAAACAACCACAAGAATTACCTAGAAGTGGGGTACCTACAGATCCATATGAAGATACAAATAGAGACAATTTAAACCATCTTAATTCTGAATTTCATCCTTCGGATATTAAAGATCCAAAGCAAAGTGCCATTATTGATTTATCAGATTCTTCATCCTCAAATAATATGGTAATGCCTCCTTTAGTTATAGGAATTACAGTTCTTTCTATTATACTGTGCAAAGTAACT